ACATGATGCTAATCCAAAGGGCCAATTAGACTGAGTAATTAGAATCACCATGCTAGGATTAAAAGGGACGCTCAAGGCCAGCTAGTCCAAGCCCTTTATTTTACAAATAGGGATTACAGGAAAAATCTATCAGACCAAATTGGCCAGTTGCCTGATTGCATTGACTGGCTGTTCTGTTGAAAGGACCAGTCATTTATTCCAAATAATTAGCCCACTTATTCTAGCCCTCATACAGGCACTGCCAAAGGAAGCCATGCAACACAGGTTCCAAACCCGGACCCGTCTTCTAAAGAAGTGAGAAAGCTCCAGGAAATGATTGATGTCGGCCTCGATCTCACTCTGAGAGACGTGTTGCCCGGTGAACCAGGCAGGTGGCCATTCCTAAGACAACGGACATTAGCAATGTAGTGGTAATTATGCCTTTACGTGATGAGTGATGGCTGGACCTTCCCTGTGTAATGTCTCCGAGCACCACAGAACCCATACTGAGCTCTTGTGGTATCAGTAGTATCTCCCAAAGGCAGCTGAGCAGGCTCCGTGGCCTGTGGCCTTTGGCTCTTCTCAATGCGACTGAACCCACTTTTCAGTGCATCCCCATGAGGTCTCAATGGCTACTGCCATTTCTTTTTTAATAAAGAAAAAAGGATTTGTCTTTATTTTTTTTCTTTCATTTTAATGTATGCCTTTTATTTCTTTTTTTTTTTTTTTATTACATGTATTGGGGTGACATTGGTTAATAAAATAATACAGGTCTCAAGAACATGATTCTATAATATATCGTCTACATATTGCATGTTCACCACTCAAAGTCAAGCCTCCTTCGACCCCCGTTCCCCTTCTCCACCCTCTCCGGTAACCACCACACTGTAGTCTGTGTTTATGAGTTTTTGTTTGTCTTGTTTGTTCGTTTGTTGCTTTCGGTATTATATCCCACATATGAGTGAAATCATTTGGTTCTTGACTTTTTCCATCTGACTTACCTTTAACATAGAATTCCAAACATTGCTAAAGGGCATCGTAGCAACCCCCACAGTGTGGTTTAGGGGCCTTTGATTTTTCCTTCTAGGCGACTCTCCCCCACAGCTTGCTCTAGGATACTATTGGAGTTCCTGCGACTTTGTTTTTAGATGTTTCTTTCCTTTCTGCCTTAGGCCAGAGAATTCTGTAGCTTTCTCCTTAAGACTAAGGGTAAATATTTACCTTAGCCAGTCACTGTCACCCAACGAAGACTGTCACTAGGGTGCGCTAGCAAACAGCAGGATAACCACCCTTCTGCATCCTCCTATATCAGCTGTTCCCCCACCACCACCCCCACCCCGAATTTGGGATTCTGCCTGTGCAATGCTTTACTGTTCTTCGGCTGTCCTAAAGTGAGTCAGCTACAGAATAAACCAGCACTTAATCTTTCGTGGTGATCAGTTTCCCGATTATATTTCTAGTAGAGTTGACACTATGTTAAATCAGAGCAACCATCAACTCTTGTTAATATACCTTGTGAAAGGATCGAGCATCCTTCCCTATCACTCCTGGAGTATTACCAAAAAGGTCGTGACAAGCTTCCACCCTTTTAAGGCGTGCACTCGTCACGATGGTCTGTGTAAGCTCTGGAAACTGGAGCTTAGAAGGGACTGGCCTAATTGGAGTCAGCACTGAGAATTATAAGAGACCCCTGTCTATGGCGACCTCAGGACAAAGGAAATACAGGTCGGTAATCAGTGTGAAAAGGGAATGAAAATAGTGCCATGTCTGTGACCGTGGAGGTCATGCCCTTACTGGATAAGAAAAGAGAAGGTCGAATGCTAGTTTGTGCTAAGTGTTCACAGTCCATGGTGGCTAATAAGAATAAATAAAAATTATAAGCAGTTTTGTATGAAATTTACTGGAGTAATGTTGGTTAATAAAATTATACAGCTTTCAAATGTGCGATTCAATTATATACCATACACACACACACACACACACACACACATATATGTACATCTATATATATATAGTATCATGTGTTTACCACTCAATATAAACAATTTTTTACTCTCATATTCCCAGGGCTCTGCTCTTTGTGCCCGAGATTGACAGATTGACAGATCGAATTGAGTGAAATTAGAGGGCAGGGGTCGTCGCCAGTGTCCTCTAACAGAGTTCCCCAGACAGCCCCGGGTTAGCACAGAGCGCT